TTAAGGATCTGTGATTTGAGGAAGCTCAGTCTCTCTACTCATAACTTCTCTTTCACAGAAAAAAATGCCTTTCAGGAGGCATTTCTAAAATGTCTTTTAATTTTTAAATGCTTTAGTTCCTCCCTTGCAAGTGCAGCTCTTTGCTTTCGTGCACCATCTAATAACACACTGCAAATGTGCTTCCAAACAACCATTTCTGAGTGTGCAATATCAACATCTGTACTAAAACCAAGCAGAAATTTTTCCCTGAAGCAATATTTTGCTCAGTATTATTGTTACTTTTTTTTTTTTATTTAATGGTTTGCTGTCATGGGAGCTCTTCAGCCTCTTGGTTTTGGGAACTGAAAGCTTTCTGCTTCTCCCTCCTTGTTGAAGACACCCTGGCAGGTGAGCCCATTATCACCCTTGTACCACCTGCTAAAAAAGCTTTACTGAGTGTTCACTAAAACTGTGTTGCACTGAAGCACCTCATTGAACTGGGAGTCTGATATGCAGCAAGTTGGCAAAATTAGTTGATTAGTGTTTGTACAGGGTTTTGAACTTCTCCTGTTAAGTAGATGTGAATAATAAAAATAATATTAATTTATTATTATTGTTATTGTTATTCTGACTCTCTATCATACCAGTGATGAACATTTCCCTGTGCATGTATTTAAGCTATCCAATGTGGGATGCTTTGTTCTTAATTTTGATTATTTTAAGTGTCCTTTAGCACATCAAATAGTCTCCCTAGATAAGGATTTATAGGAAGGTCTTCAGAGCTGTCAGAGTAATGTTTTTCTAGCAGCAAAAACTTAACCTCCTCTTAGATCTTCATTTCTGCTTTGTCCTGGGTGTAGCTGCAGCGAGTGCTCAGTCACAGCCATCAGGATGAAGATGTGTTGTCAGTTGTTTTATTTTTGATCCCATTTGAATGTGTCAGTCAACTGCCTCGAATCAAAGAAAGTGAGAAGGAGCCTTTAACAGTTGTGATTGGAAACTTCAGACTTACCTTTTTTTTTTTTTTTTCATTTTTATAGACACTAACTAAATGCTTGGCAGGTCCTTGTGAATCATAACATTTCTAAATATATCAAAGAGGCTCTTTGCCAAGCTGCTGGTGAAGGTGGTGTCTATTCCTATTGACTCCTTTTTCCCCTTCAGATTACTTATCATTTAATAATTTCAAATCTTAATGCAAAAAAGCCAGGGACTCTTAACTAGGCTGGCTAACATTGTGATTAATGAAAGTGTAATGCGAGCTACTGTACAGCCATTAGAAACCAGTTAGCTAATTAGTGTAATCACAGGGGTGGAAATAATTAAAAGACCATAAAATAGAGGTAACCTAATAACAACATTTTCCTCTGACCCAGAACTGGTGAGAAGAGGGTGGTTTGCTGGGTTAGGAGCAGAGAGGAGTGGAGATGGAAGGTTCTGTGAGTAATCACTGTCAAGGAGGTCTCGGGGCACAGACAAGGAGAACAGAGCAGATTTTACACCTGCATAATCCAGATTGCAGCAGCACTTCACACCACTGCACCCCTCTCCCATCTTATGCTTTGTCACAAGTTTAGTGGCAAACTAATCAAGACATGGGTGAGGCAGGATCCAGTTGGTTTGGTCTTATTTACTTTTTTGTTCCCTTTCCTCCTTCCCAGGTTATTAACAAATATAGTATTAAAACTTCCTTCACATTCCCTGAGTCCACCAGGTTTGGTTTCAGGAAAGGGGGAAATCGGTGTCCTAAGGTGCTTAAGAAGAAAATCCTGTTAGAGGATTCCCTATATTTATAGAGCTTCTAATGTATTTATGTATGTTATTCACTGCAAGTTTCACAAAACTCTACAGCTTGTTCAAAAATCTCTTGCTAAGAGGAAAGAGCCTTTCTGGGCAGAGTGGAGTGGTGCAGTGACTGATGAGGGTGACAGTCACTGCCAGAGCTGCTCCCAGGAGCTGGTGCCAAGCAGATGTGCCCCCCCCCCTCAACCCTCACCTGCAGCCTTTGCACTCATGTTGGTGCAGACAGCCCAAGCCCTTTGGGCAGTACCAGCACACTATTGCGGTGGTGAATCCAAAACAACCCCCAAAATGTGTGCCCTGGTGCTTCTCTAAGGGGTCTCCTATGCAGGACTGTTCAGGTTCATCTCTTGTTAATGAGAGATGGGGGACGGTGTGATGGGCTGGATCTCACCCCTGCTGATTAGAAGTGACCTACCTCTGGCTGTTAGGTGAAATAGCTCCACGTAACAGGCAATAAAAAATCCTAACTGGTAATTTTCCACTTGGGATGGGTCACCACTATGGCCATCTCCATCGGTTCTTATCATTTCTGCCACGGTTTGTGTGTGTTTCATTTGACCTGGCTCTAATGAGCAGAGAAGACTGAACAGTAGCTGCAGACACACAATCAAGGATCAGCCGCCGGAGCTGATGAGTCTGCCGAGACTGCTAAGTGGGTCTTCATTAGCTATTCACATGCAAAGAGCAATCCTTATTTATTCTTCTTTCCTAGGTGAATCTATTTTTGAATATCTTTTGTGCTGATCCTGTCTGGGGGGTGGGAGGTTGGATGGAGGGTACCACCACTGCTGGTTAACAAGATGATTGTCCTGAAAAAATTGAGTGTGACACCAAGTTGGCAGCAAGTTGAAAAGAAGAAACAATGTGATGCCATTTAGAGAAGGAAGGAATCATTTTCCCCTGTGACTTCTCTGGTGGGAGGCAGAACTTTATCTTCTCTTTGCAGCTCAAATGAAGCATCACAGCAGTAGCATTAACTGTGCTTTCACGCTCCCAGCTTGTCTTTTCATTAACCTTATGTGTTTTTTTTTATTGCTGTAGCAGGGAACACGCTTTCCAGGGAGGGTTTGCAGGGGAGTCACTGGAGCTGCAAACCCGGGATATCCCAGGCAGGTCCCCAGGCTGCACATGTGGTGTTATTGCAGCCAAGGGGATGAGCTGGCGGTCTGTGCTGCTGTACGTGAGCTTGCAGTGAAGAAGGGAAACCTGAAGTGTGTCTACAAGTCTGCTGGAGAGGGGTTTTGGAGCAGCAGGTCATGGTGAGCTTTGCTCCAGGTGCACTTTTGTCCAGCCAGCTCAGCCGTGTGAATCACATCCTGGGACATCCTCGAGGATGCAGACGGGTCAGTCCTTAACCCTTGGCAGAACCAGCGGCTTCTTGAGAGAAAGGTGCCTTTCATCTGCACAATCCCTTTTTCCACACTGGGCATTACTTAAATGTTCTCATTTAAGCATTTCCTAAAAGCCGTGTTCCCGCGGTGCTGGGCCGGTTGGGTGAGGATCCTCTCGCCCTCCCGGCCGCATCCGCCTGTGGCGAAGGCTGCCCTCTCCCGACACTCTGAGTATCCGAGGGATGCGGTGGCTGAGCCGGGGCCCAGCACCCTCCGCCAGCACCAGCCCTGTCCCCGCTGCACCGTGCACGGAGCAACGATGTCCCGTCCCAGTGGGCACAGATGATCCCCCGAGGTGGCCTGACCCCATCACCAGCTGCCTCTGATGCTGGATCCAACCTGCATCCCCCTTGGGCAGCAGGAGAGTCCTGCTTGAAGAACCACCCAGAGCACTGCACTCCTGCAGATTTCCGTTTTCCCAGACCAATCCCTGCCCTTCCAAACCTGCCCAGTACCTTTTTCTTCACGTTTTGTTTTTTTATGATCTGGTAATGTAGGCATGAGTACCGTACTCCTCTGAGTTGTCTTTTCCCAGCTGAGTCTATTTGTGCTGCAGACTGTGTGGGTGCCACCCTGGGAAAGCCACATTTAGCAGTGTGTTGTTCCAGGAAAGCACTTTTATATGAACAGGGATGTGAGACAACCACTTGCACCTCTGGGCTTGGCAAACAGCTGATCCATGAGAGATGACTTTTTTTTTTCCCCTTGTGATTTTGACCTTATTTGCTGAAAGTGAAACATCATTCAGCCTTCCAGGAAATACCACAAGTCTTCAATCTGACATGAGAACATAAATCTTCTGTAAGAGTTCATCCATTCTACATCTCGGGTCTCTGGAACTGGGCTGTGGACATGGGAGTGGGAATCTCAGCATCCTGAATCCAGGGCTGCAGAACCTGAGCCCCTGCACCTCCTCAGCCGAGGGAAAAACATCCCCATGGGGTCAGACCCTTACTGAGCTGGTTCTGCACCAGTTCCTCATGGAAAAATTGGGATTTTTTGGCCTGAATCACCTTGAGTGTGTTAATTTTTTGTAGGACAGGTGAAACCCTTCCCCTCCAGTTCTGTGAATCTGACTGAAATAAAACACAGCTTTACAGCTCAGAGTAACCCAGCTCTCCATGCTTCAGACTCCCCTAAACCCCTCCTAGAAGAGAGCTCAAAGGCTGTAGCATTGCTGAAGTCTCAGGTTCTGCACACCACGCTCAGCAGTGCAGCCCCAGCTCACACCTCTGACAGCACATTTCCTGAGCACAGTGCCTGCATGTCCCTGACCTTACTGTGCAACCAACTTTTGTGGGTTATGCCTCCCCCTGCTATTTTGGGGGACCACAGAGGCCTTTCTGGGAAGGCGGTGGGGCAGCCCTGGGGCTCGTGTGCAGTTCATTGAAGGTTATTTGTGGGACATTGTGGCTCTACATCTTTCCACCTCCCACCCACCACGAGGGGTTTAACAGACATCATTTTGCTCATGAAGTTCATGCTTTTACATCCACACTGTTCCACCTGGGGTGTATTCATCAGTGCAAATCTCTTTGCTTTGCAGGTCATTCCCAGAGCAGGGCCCCTCAAGCCCCACTGGACCCAGGGAAGGACTCATCCACTTTTGCACTTTGCTGTGTTTCCCTCGGGATCAGCTCAGTGACATTCCCAATCCCCATTGTGCTGGGGATTATGCATTTAACTGAACCCACAAAGATACCCCTTCAAAAGCCCCAGAAAGCTTAAATATCCTTTTTTTCTGCCTGGACCACCTTTCCTTGTTTTACCACTAGATGGGAGAGTGAGACTGAGCTAACTGAGGTGCTCCCGTCCTTATCCCGGTAGGAATTCTGAGGGGAGAAGACTACTGAAAGATGCCTGCGGGTCATCCTGCAAATCCTCTTACCTCGGGAAGGGAGCAGGTAGCCCCCAAAATGCCTTGTTGTTTCCCAGTCCTAAAAGTGCATGGTTAGGGGGGGCTAATGCTTGCCTGGTGCTTTCCCAAAATATCAGGATGCCACTGGATCCCACTCTGGAAGGGGAATTCACTTACACAAAGACTGGGTATATTCCTGGGGTGACATACTTAATATTTTTTCTCCTATCCACCTGTCCTGGAGCAGAGGGAGATAGGGGAAACACTTGCAATTCACTCCACTCATCCATACCCCAAATTCTGTTTCCCAGGAATCCGAGTGATCTCAAAAATTGTTTGGGGAGGTAAAGAATCACAGAATCACAAATGGTTAGTGTTGGAAGGGACCTCTGGAGATCATCTAGTTCAACACCCAACAGGTAAATGTAAACAAAGCAGCATTTTCTCCTCCTTTCCTTCTACAGGATTTTCTTTCTCCTATAGGATTCTTATGTAATGATACTCCCAGTGAGAAAATAAAACTGGTCTATTGCAATGATTGTACTTGAAGGAAAAGAATTCATGCCCTGGTCCAACACCACTCACCTCAGGAACCGCTTTGGGTGAGGGAGGGGATGGCACCCAGTTCATTAATATCTTAATAAATTTACTTTCACTGCAGCACTTCCCATCCCCTGAGACCTCCCAAGGTTTTGCTGAGACTGGGTATATTCAGGAATTATATAGCTGTAGAAGCAGTTTATCAGCCAAATCGAATTGTCTAGTTTGACTATTTTTACTATTACTAGGTTTGGGACTTTAAAGAGGAACATTTCTACTTGCTTCCTGAGATTTCACAGGTTCCGGAAGAAATTTCACAGGAGACAAATTTTCTGACTGCCTGTGTGTCTACATCAGAACATGTAATCCCTGTAAAGTGGAAATAATCTTTTTGGGGGGTTTTGCTTTTTGCCCAAACTTCCTAATTTGCAAACTCTTTAGAGAAGTGACTCAACTGATTTGTTCAATGCCTGGCACAGTTTGGCAATGAGATGAAATAATTCTAATAACTTCCCTAACTGCAGTGCCGTTGTTGCCTCTGTTGTGGTCTCTTGGCTTTGCCTGCACAGAAAATATCTGTCATTATCCTGCTAGACATAAATAACAGCTTCTTTGGAAGACAGAGATTGTATTTTTTACGAGACCTATCTACTCTTATTTTCCATAAGCAACAGCCACCCCACCCTGTGCGTGCAATGAGGACACTGAGTCACCAGCATGAAGCAGTGACCAGCTCATACATCTCACCAGGGAGGACCCAAAATCCCCTCCAAAGAAGAGAAGAGACATCTTTCTTCAGATGATAATCAGAGGTGCAAAAATGTTACCTGGAAGCAATTAAAAAAAAAAAAAAAAGACATTCCAGACCTGGTAGGTCCAGGGCACATCTCCTTGTGCAAAGGTTTGCTTGCTCAAGCCCTGGCACAGGCCACCCAGGGCAGAGGAGGAGTCCCATCCCTGGAGGGATTTAAAAGACATGTAGATGCATCACTTGGGGACCTGGTTTAGTGTGGGCTTGGCAGTGCTGGGGGAATGGCTGGACTTGATGATCTTAAGTGGCTTTTCCAGCCTATGGTTCTAAATGATTCTGTGATTCTGCCTCCTCCTGAGGGGCATTTTGAGCTCCCAGCTGGGCTCAGAGTGGGGCAGGTGCTGGTGAAGTACATGGGAAATGCTCCACGGGGCTGAGACATCTTTGGAGGGGCAAGGGTAAGCACAGAGCACAGATTAACAAAAAACTATTACCAGGGTGAACATCAGCCCCAGGACACCAAGGCATCCCCAGACAGAGGGCTCTGCACAGCAGGAGATGTTGGCACCCTCCCTGATGGTATCCATGGTGAAATCCAGCCCTGATGAAATCCAGCAGGCCAACCTCTCCTGTAGACCTTGATCCTGCAAGAGGAACTACAGGGATGGATTTTCAGTCAGCCAGAACCAGCTGGATTGAGGCCTTATCTGAGATAGCAATAGAATTAGCCATGTGATTTCTTTTCCATGTTTACAGGGGCAATATTTTCCCAAAGTTCAAAGTCTTCCTCTGCAGGAAGCATGTGATATGCTTTGCAGTCACACCATATTTTGGCGCTATGAACAATTAAAAAAATCAATTTCCGGAGCAATATTTTCTATGTTTGTAATCTCAGAACTAATTACAGGGCTGGAAAATCAATAGCTATCTGGAAATCTTTCCAATACAGCTAACTAAGCATGCTACATATCATGCTGGAATATATTCTTCACAAACACATGCTGCTCATGACCATCTCCCAGATCACACAGGCAGATGATATCACTGTTAATAAGCCCTGTGCTTCACTGCACTGCAATGGCAGCATTTACCAAAATCTGCAGGGGGGATTGGGCAGAGCAAATAGCACAGTACATGAGAGCTGGAGCAATGCTTGTGCCAGCATTTTAAGCCAACGACAAAAACAGTTGAAAGACTCATTTAGTTCAACAGGAACCTACAAAAAGATTATGAAAGAAAGTCATTAAAAGTTCATGCCTTAGTTATAATGTTGTTTTTTTCATCATGTTCTATTAAAATAAAAAGTAAAACCTTTGGTGACTGAAAATAACCTCTTTGTCTAGTTTCCTAGCAAGAGAGAAGTGGTGTTAAATGGGTAGTTTGATGGTGATTATACATCAAAAACACACGTGAAGAGGAAGGGTGTTGCTCTGATGGATGGATCTCCTCTTGCTGTACAAACACACTCTGTTGACCATGGCAGCTCAGTTGGAGCCAAAGCTCAGACCCTTGTGCTGATGCTCTTCACTGCTTCCCACACACACTACAGGCATTGCTGGGATCTTCTCCAAGATGCTGCTGCCTCCCTCGTGCCCTGCAAGAGTTCAGTGTGCTCTTCCTTGATATGCTGGAGCTTGTGCTGCTGCTAAATGAAGAGGAAACATTCCCATTGGACACAGTGCCAAACAGCACAGCAAGTGGATAAGAAGCACAGACCAGAGTACAGGGGACTTTCCCCAGGCTCCCATTTGCACTCCTGCTTGGTACAAGAAAGCAATGAATTCTGAGCTGTCACAAAGCCACAAAATATCTGCTCTGATTTTATATGTTTTTCTCTGATTATCCTTCATGGTTTTTTCCCCCCAGTGAACTGACATCTCTGCTCTCATTCCCTCCCCAAGCCGGGAGATTCCTGCAGTTCTCCAAGCTGATGATCCTCATCCTGGAGTGGAACTTTGGGTCTAGCAGCCCATGAGTTAAGGTGCAGCATGTGCCTTGTCCCAGCGCTCATCTCAGGAGACAGGCCGTGATTTATAGTCCATCCTAAATAATTTGGCAGGTTAGTTATACCCAAAGAATTTAAATTTTGGAGCTGGACATGATGCATGTAGTGATCTGGATAGGAACTATTGTCATTATTAATTTTTGTTTGCATTTCTGTAGCACTCCCATGTGCAGATGAGGATTTCCTGTGCCTGGTGCAGCACACTGGCACAGAGAAAGGAGCCCTTTCTGTCAGCTCCAGGCTGACAGCCTGCCTGGAACAGCAAGCCCAAACCTGAGAGGGGCTGGGGGTGTTGATGGCAACAGCACCCAAAACACACACTCCAGTGGTGTGGCTCTACTAATCTGGGCTGTTTCCTGCCAAGAAGCAACAACTACAAAAATATTGTGCTTATCATTACCACAGTAAAAGTTTCTCTTTTAACTTCCTAGGCTGAGATGACCTTGATGGTGACGCAGAGCTGTGGGTGCCGCACATTGCTCAGACTCTGCAGGACCAGACCTACAGCTGCTGCACTAAATTTCAATGTCTTCTCTTCAGATAATGGTGTCTTTGGACTTTCCTATTATTCTTGCCAATCTAATGTCATATTTCCTTCAAATAAAACTCGGTGTGTGAGAACTCACTTCTGTTTCTCTCTTAGGAAAGGAAGGCTGTGCTGTCTGTGCATCACCTAACAGGAAAGACCTCAGGACAAAGAGCTCAGACCCTTCAGAAATCTTTCAAAGAGAAGCTCCAGCTCTCCCTTATCTCTTTTAAAGTTAACACATCACACTTTGTACATCCTCAGTAACAAAGTTCCTAATGTTGTTTCCCGATAACCCAGAGGCCCAGGACGGCGATGCTGTTGCTGTTTTACAGAGGGCAAGAGGAGGACACTTGCTCCCCTGGCTGACAATCAGCACTTTGGGAACATCCCACACTAGAGATTATTGAGTTTCACAGCCACCAAAGCATGTGTCACCCATGAATTTGTATAATTCTTCCTCAAATACAGTTACACTTTTGGCTCTGCAATGCCTCCGGCATCAGTTGCTGCTGTTTAATCAGGAGCTGCTTTAAACCTCCTACCTCATCCTTTCATTTACAGGATCCTTTGCTCTGGTAATAGTAAAGGCAGCTCACAGAGTTGAGCAGAATGGATTCTGATGCTCCAGCTTGCAAAGTCAAAGGGTCTTACAGAGGCAGGATAACACGAAGTCTGGTAAAAACCCAGGGAGGTACTTTCAGAAGTTCATTTCCCACTGCAAGCCAGCACCAGCCACCACTCTTGAAAAATCCCATCTTTGTTTGTTATTTATTACATGTTTCCTGTGAATGAATTTCTGGCTCAAATTAGAGTTGTAATAAAACTCTAAAAAAATATTGTTTTAGAAAAAACCTAGATCTGTCCTTCCGTCCTGGGGATCTGTTGCTTGTTCTGCAACAGGAGATCTGAATCATGGAAGTATCTATAACAGTAATATTAGGAAATGACCATTCAGGCACCAGAGATCTGTATCAGACATTATGCCTTTAAATAAATTGTCTGTTACTATGTTAATCTAATCTTGTAAATACATGCACACTTAACTATATTAAAAATGTAAATGCTCCCAGAACTGGACTTCACATGATGAACGTGAACTCTCCTTTTTTCCTTGCCAGCTCTGCAGATCTTGGAAAAACAAGGATTGTTTAATTTGATGGGCATTAATAAGGTTGATATCTGCACAGGTTTAGCCAAAAGATTGTCACGATCATCTCAGGCCCCACGTGGCTTACGGGCCTGAACTCGAAGAAACATCTTTCAACAGCTGCTGGTGACGGAGCGATTCCAGCTCTGGGAGCACCTCCAGCCAACTGACTTCCCTTCCATGGCACTGAATTTGCATTCATTAAAAACAGAGTTTTAATGAGTTATGGAGATTTACAAAAAATGGCAGCCCAGAGCTGCTGACACTCCCAAAGCTTCTGACAGAAGTACAACACACCATAAACCCTGCTGTGAAATATTGAATGAAAACCAGTGCAGGTGTATCTGCAAGCGTTAACATGACCCATAAAATCAGGGATTCAGGGGAACTAAAATTATTGGTGCACCCCAAACTCGAGGAG